ATTGACAATGATGAACACTTTTTAGAATGTTTCTTAGCCATCTTTATTTCTTTCTTTGAGAATTCTGTTTAGATTTTTAGTCCATCTTTTAATTGGGTCATTTTCTTTCACACTTCTTTTTTTTTGAGTTCTTTATATGTTCTGGATGTTAAACCTCTGTCAGAAGTGTCACTGGTGAAGTTTTTTTCCAATTCTGTGGGTTTTCTCTTCACTTTTGTGATTGTTTCTTTTGCTCTACAGAAGCTTTTTAGTTTAATGAGGTCCCACTTGTTGATTACTGACCTTAATTCCTGGGCAACTCCTGCCTGATTTAGAAAATTCTTTCCTACACCTATATCTTGTAAGTTACTGCCTGTCACTGGTGAAGATTTTTTTCCCATTCTGTGGGTTTCCTCTTCACTTTTTTGATTGTTTCTTTTGCTGTACAGAAGCTTTTTAGTTTAATGAGGTCCTACTTGTTGATTGCTGACCTTAATTCCTGAGCAACTTCCGATTTAGAAAATCCTTTCCTATACCTATATCCTGTTAAGTTACTGCCAATATTTTCTTCTAATAGTTTCAGGATTTCCAGTTTCACATTGAGGTCTTTGATCCATTTGGAGATGACTTTTGTGCAAGGTGAAAGATAAGGATCTAGTTTCATTCTTCTATAGGTGGATATCTACAGGTGGAGATCCAGTTTTGCCAGCACCATTTGTTGAAGATGCTGTCTTTCCTCCATTGTGTGTTCTTGGCACCTTTGTCAAATATCAGGTGGCTGAAATTGCGGGTACTCAGGTTTGGATCTTCAATGATGGTCCATTGATCTATGTGTCTGTTTTTGTACCAGTACCATGCTGTTTTTATGACTACGGCTCTGTTGTATATTTTGAGATCTGGCATAGTAATCCCCCCAGCATTGCTCTTTGTGCTCAGGGTTGCTTTGGCTATCCAGGGTCTTTTGTGCCTCCGTATGAATTTAATCTGTTAAGTATGTCATGGGGATTTTGATTAGGATTGCATTGAATCTATATATTACTTTTGGTAAGATGGCCATTTTCACAATATTAATTCCTCCAATCCATGAACACGGCTTTAGACATGCCTGGACATGCCCTGGCATGCCCTGACCCCCACCTGCTATTCCCCCCCTGTAGGACCCCCAGACTGGGGTACCCTACGTTCTCGGGAGGTCGCACCCCAATAACTCAGTCCTCAAATCAGGAGATGCAACAAGCATGAGGATTTATTGGCGTTTTGCAAAACGGACTCCCACCTCACTCGGAGGACAGAAGTCCAGAGCCCAGTTCACAGGTTTCTTTTAAAGACAAGCGGCGGCTTATGTGCCAAGCAGAAAAGCGGTGGCTATGTGCCAAGCAGAGGTAGGGGGAATTTCTGGGATGATTTCCAGCTTGGGCAGAGGAGCATGAAAAAGGTCAGCTCAGCTTGTTCTTAGCATTCAGAATTATTTTTATTTTTACTTTCTTGTACAGTTTTTCTCAGGCCTGGGGGATTTTAGTTTAAATCCATTATTCTGGGGGCTTTGGATCCATCACTAGATGACCTGGAACTCCCTATATAGACCAAGTTGGCCTTGAACTCAGAGATATGTCTGCCTTTACCTCACAAGTGCTGGCATTAAAGGCACACACTACAGTACCTGGTTTAAGATTTTTTGTTTTTGTTTTATGTATATGAATGTTTTGCCTGCGTGTATATATGTGTACTACGTATGTGTCAGGTACAAGCGGAAGCCAAAAAGGGAGATCCCTGGAACTGGAGTTACAGACAGTTCTGAGCTGCCATGTGAGTCCTGGGAATCAAACCCAGGTCCTCTGCAAGAGCAATAAGGACTCTTAACCACTGAGCCATCTATCTGGCCCCTAATTAGAATTTCAGCTGGGCATGGTGGTGTATGCTTTTAATCCCAACACTCAGGAGGCAGAGGCAGGCTGATCTCTACGAGATCCAAGACAGTTTACCAGTTTGCTAGGGAGGTAGAGGTAGAAGGAACTCTGTGAGTTCAAGACCACCCTGGTCTATATAGCAGTTTCCAGGCCAGTCGCAGCTACATAGTGAGACCCTGTCACAAAAAAAAAAAAAATTCAGATATCACAGAGGACAATAGGCAATAGAGGGAAAGTGGTTTCATGAAGTCTTGCCTTTTGGCAAAAGCCCTGCCCAGCATGTTGACACACACCTTTAATCCCAGTACTCCAGAGGAAGAAGATCTTTGGATCTCTGTCAGTTCGAAGCCAGCCTGGTTTACACAGTGAGTTCCAGGCTAGCTAGGGCTACATAGTAAGACCCTGTCTCAAAAAAAAAAAAAAAGAACCCAGGGCATCCTCAGTTGGTAGAGTGCTTGTTCTGCACACACAAGGCCCTAGGTTCCATATTCATAAACCAGGCATGGTGGCTCATGCCTGTAATTCCAGAACTCAGGAGATGGGAGCAAGAGGATTAATTCAAGGTCATGCTCAGCTATATAGTGAGCTCACGGCTAGCCTGAACTACATGAGACCCTGTCCCAAAAGAAAAGGAAGGTTGGAGAGATGACTTAGCAGTTAAGAGCAGTGGCGGCTCTTGCAGAGCACCCAGGTTCAATTCCCAGCAACCACATGGTGGCTAACAACTATCTCTAACTCCAGTTTCAGGGGATCCAATACCTGCTTCTGATCTCCATGGACATTGCACAACACCAGTGTAGTGACATACATGCGGGTAATAGACTCATACACATAAAAATAAAAAAAATAATAATTTTTTTAAGTTATACTTTGGTTCAGTAAGTAGAAGTGCTTACATCTGAACCAGATGATCCACAAAGCCCTCATGAAAAGAGAACCAA